GTAGGAAGTGTTATTGAACATCAGCAAAGCGTGTTTCTGGAATATTATATTTTTGTTGCTGCAAGTGCTTCTTATGCAATTTTTGCAAAGCTATATGTGGAAGGAAACTGTGACCGAGGACAAGCTGATGGCATAAGATGTAAGTACAATTCCTCCGGTTTCACATGCAAAAAAAATGATTGCGCTAGCTCACGCGGTTGTAGTGCTACAAGGATTTAAAAGTAGTTGCGCAAAACGGAGCGTGCCCGCTCTGACTGGTTTTAAAGGGTTAATTATATATTTTATGTAATAATTTATAAAATTAGGTTAGAAACGATAGAAGACAAATGGCACGACAGACACTTTTCTATCGTCCACACGATATATATCGTCATATCGCCCAGCACTATTGTGGAGGTCTTTAAATGTGATGTGAGAATAAAGAGAAAGAACGTGACATAATGAATGTGTTTGTTCTTCTTGGTATAAACAGCAGCCTTACTCAAGTTCTTATAATAATATCTGGTTAAACATAAATCTGGGTCATTAACATTTCCTGATGACTTGGAGTAACCAGGAGAAACCTCCAGGGTTGAAGAATGAAGTCACGGGAAGCAAAAAACTGCAGTTCCTCAAATCTTTGGGCTCCATTAGAGCTTAAAACATGAACACACACACCATGCATGGTGAAAACAAGGAATTATAACTATAACTATTTGTTATAGTTGTAGTAGTCGAACCATTTTTTCTAATGCATGCATGTTTTTGAAGAACAACTGGAGGCCCAAAATTGAGCCCTGTGGGACTCCACGAACAATGTTGTGAAGGGAAGATGAAATAAATCTAAAAGCTGATGGCAGAGGGTCAGAAAAGTTAAACTAGCCCATTATCACTGTCAAAAAGAAAGAGCTAAAACACATTATCACAGAAAAAAGTACAAAAGTACCTCACATAAGATATAAAACTAAAAGGAAGATAAAAACAAAATCATAAGGACAATTAAAATTAAAACCTGCTAAAAAATTAGAGGATGTCCTGATATTGTGTTGCATTCAGAGTTTTTGTGGGTAAATCCTGAACCATGAGAAAATTCTACTTTTTGAAATGTTCACTGAACCTTGTGACAATTTTTCTAAAAGAAATTACAGTTTGTTTCCATATAGAAGTTTTAACCTGTATATTGTTGCTTAATCCAGCATTTTGTCTAGTTTATTGCTTAAAAAATAAAATAATAATAATAATAATAATAATTATAAAATTAATATTAATTAATTAATTAACTTAAAAAAATAATAATTATTAAATTAATTAATATTAATTTATTCAGGTTTTTCAAGACGAAAAAACCCTGAAATATAAATATAAATATAGTATACTTGTCATCAGAGGGTCTGTTTGAAATGTTTGGACTTACCTGGTTCTGGTCTCTGGGTCTTCGTGAGTAGAGTGGCACATGGCGCTGAACTGTGAGACAAAGAAATCGTAGCGGCGATGGTAGGAAGGCGTGTCCTCCTCGATGTTGGCAAACTTCACAAACTGCAGAGAGACGAGGAAGAATCAGCAAACGTTCATCAGCCTGAATTTTCTGTGCGAGTCAGAGAGCACATGTGAGACATGATGGCTTGCCATGAAAGTGAACACAGCTCTGTGAAATTCTGAAAAGTAGTAACTGTACTATTCATAAATAATAATAATTATAATTAGTGAATAGTACACTCCTCGAGGCGTCCACATTAAGTGAAGCCTCCTCTGCTTGCAAAAAGACAATTAAATAAGTCTGTGGGGAAATGGCCCTGTGACCTCAGTAAGTACTTCCTGATTAATTCACGGTCTCGAGCTGTTTCTTACTTTAAACAACATTAAATAAACTATTATTATTATCAGCCAATCACACGTCAGCTGATGAGTCCACGCCCATCTAATCCAGTTTGAAAACACCAACCTGTCAACTGTAAAAACACTCAGGTACAGGCTTTACTAACCAATGCAGGACAGCCGTGTTTTATATGTTGTTCATTTATGCAGGAACCTGAAGTCCTGAAAATAGGAAGCTGATGAATATTTGACCTTTCACCTCAACAACAGATAAAGAAAAAAAAATCCCTCGATCACAACACTGATAACATTTCCTGTGAGCCAAAGCACCGTCACGTTCCTGCACACTAATTAATTTTGGAGCCAGTGTGACAATAACTATTAGAACCACCTCCCCCACCCGGCCCATCTTCTCCCTCCAAACGAGCCTCGAGCGTCCTCCGGAGAGGCCTCCTCCTCCCGGCTCAGTTGGCTGTGCTCGACGAGCCTCTCTCACCAACCTGTCATTGTCCACTATGACAAATAGCGTCAGCACAGTTCAGCGTCAGTGACAAAAACCACTCCGTCCTACCGGTAATTTCCTCCCATTTCGTACCTAACCTCTCCTGGGGGTCATGGCTCAGATGGAAGGAGCTACGCCGGCAGCTGGCGCACAGGAGAGTGGCTTCCCCTCAGCAGATTACGGTACTGTACTGCGCACATGTGCTGCTGCAGAAGAGCAAATTCAAGCTGTAGGCACTTACAGACCAATTACAGTCGTGTTTAGGAGGTAGAAGGAGAAGCTTGGGTCACGATTTGAATTTGCACGTCACACAAAGACATCCTGATACTCTGTAATATCCACCACACTATGCACACTGCATTGTTGTAAAACCATGACAGAAATCTGAGACAAGCTCAAACTTCACAGAAAGGAGTCTGAAGTCCTTTGTGGCATTAAAAATGCTCCACGTTTTGTTGAATGTGTGCTGTTTTGAGTCTGATTTTAGGGTCATTAATTCATAAGTCTGACATTCAGTCATCGGGACGATGTATTGCCTGGGCTGAGAGTTCACTGGTGAACCTGCTGGAGTGACAGTCTGAGTGGGAGGAGGCTGAATGTTTGCTGACTCAAGCCAGGAAGTGGAATACTGAAGCTTAAACTAATTATTAGCGTGTATTCCCTTCGGCGGCGGCTCTGATTATAAGTGATGATAACCTGTAATAACAGGGCTGACTCATTCTCACGTATCGTGCGCCTGAAGCAGTTTACAGGTGTCGTACTTCCTGAGAGCATTCAATTTCCTGCAACCTCATCAAACGTGACATTTCGGCATCATCCCCGCGAGAAACTTCGCAGGAAGTTTACGACGACTTGGGGGAACGTCTTGAGCTGTAGACGGATTCATAACTGGCTGCTTCCTCCTGAGCCCTGACTCAGCTGATGACGTTAAATGGTAAATGGCCTGCATTTATATAGCGCTTTACTGGTCCCTAAGGACCCCAAAGCGCTTTACATATCCAGTCATCCACACATTCACACACTGGTGATGGCAGCTACATTGTAGCCACAGCCACCCTGGGCCGCACTGACAGAGGCGAGGCTGCCGGACACTGGCGCCACCGGGCCCTCTGACCACCACCAGTAGGCAACGGGTGAAGTGTCTTGCCCAAGGACACAACGACCGAGACTGTCCAAGCCGGGGCTCGAACCGGCAACCTTCCAATTACAAGGTGAACTCCCAACTCTTGAGCCACGATCGCGATCGATGATGATGATGATGGAGAACTCCTCGCCCCGGGAACTGTTGGACTGGGGGTTTGCTCATCAGAAATCTACCGTCACCTCGAGTTCACCGTGCGATCAGCTGGCGGTTACTGAACGTTAAAATGTTTATTTTGATATTATTATTTCATGTTGCATGATGTGCAGTTTTTCTTTAATCTGCTAAAAAAATATCTTTTTTTCTGCTACATCTAACCTTTGTAAATCTGTTGTTTTTTTTCCAAATTGGGGTCTGAGCTTCACTTAAAGGCTCCGACAGAGGAAGAAACAAAGGCTGTACTGTTGACTAACGAAGGCTCGTCTGTTAGAAACGGCGCTCATGCTTCTCTGGCCATCTGCGAAGTGCTTTCAACGTGTGAAATCACAAGAGGAGAAGGACAACCAAGGCCGCAGTGAAAAGCAACAGATGGAATTCGATAAACAAGAGACGTCGACTCTGATTACGGAGCGTCTCGGAGGTATCGAGGTGTCAAAATGCTTCAAACTTTGGTGAAATGAAAATAAAAATAATCTTATTCCTACATCGTTTTTGAACTTAACCAAAACTTTCTGCTGTCCATAAACTGTACACAAATCTAAGCATGGGAAATTGGGTTTTGGGATAAAGCTGTAGACATCTGGCTCCACAGGTTATAGATCGCAGACACATGGACTCCCCTGTGCGTCCGACTCGGTGTCTGAGTCTGGACTGATGAGCGCCTCTTCCATTGAGATGGAGTGAAGGAAGCGCCACTTCGAGCTGTCATAGTTTGCCAATTTCTTGTGATAAAGTTAACTGGGAGATGAATTTGTAAAGCGTGAGCGGCTGGCAGCGCAGACAGCAGCACGACACAACGGTCACACACATTTGTACTGGGCACGGTAAAAAATAGGAAAGCCGGTGGGGCCGTAGGAGGAAAATGATTACATTAAAGCTGACAAATGTTGTTGGGTTTAATGAAAATGTCACTGTTAGACTGATTGGAACTTTTTTGGTATTATTTATATACAGGATGATTTATCACCTACCTCCCCCCACGATGGTTTGTTTTGGCTCGTTAGTCAACCGAATGTTTCCAAAGTTAACTTGCAGTGGACTTATTGGGCTTTCCCTCATTGTCTGACAAACATCCTCGCCAAGTGCTGGATGCTCACATTAGACAGAGCAGAAGATAAAGAGGTCCACGTTTGTACAAAAGTACAAGGTCAACTTTTTTTTCTACTGTTGGCTCTGCATGATGTCATAAAGAGTGGATATTCCTAATATGCCAATCAGGCACGGAGGCCCCACCCACCTTCAGTTTACAAGGGAGAGCTAAGGGGGAGGAGCTAAAATGGACTGTTTCTTAAAAGCTACTCAGTCATCATTCTTTGCTTCTCCAGCTTGTTTTAATAAAAGGTTATAAAAACAGCCCTGAGCTCCTGAAGACTGATATTTGAATGATTCGTTGAAGAAACGCTTTTGTGCCCACTAAGGTTTCAGTGTGGATGTGGGATTTTTTTTCATAATGATTAAACCAAATCACACAGCAGTGACCAACCTCGAGCTGTTGATGGATCATCTCAGACATGGTCTGGACTGAAGTTTGGTCCATTTTCAGCCTTTCTTCCCGTCGTCGTCATCTCAACGAGCCCAACTTCACTAGTTTTTAAGTCCAAAGTTTTGTAAGAGTAACAGTTTTGCTGGCTTTTGAGGGGCTTTGAAAAAAACCGAGGTCTGCAGCTAACACTCGATCTATTTTGATATGATATCATCCCCGCCCGTCTTTTATCTTTAAATCTAACCCTTTCCCTCTTGGATGCCTACTAGATGAAATCCCTGTTTCTCTTTTCTGAACTGAGCAATTTCTGTTATATTTCAGGCGTGTTTCTAGAATAAGATGACGTCACAAGTTAACGTGGATGATCTCCGCCTATACAACTTACTCGGGCT